TAACTTTATGAGAGTAGAAAGCTGGAGTTGGGCAGATAGACTTAAATCATCTGGTGAGTCACTTGTGATCTCTGTGGTCAACTTAATTAGTATTACTAAGCAGGGTTGTTAATCTATACAAAGAGATTTTCATGGTGCAACGGGTTTGGCCTGTTGCTATCCAGAACATTCAGATCTGCCATGAGATGCCTTGGAGAGAAGGCCTGGAGATGACCATCGGAAAGATCCCGCCATGGAGCATCGTCTGTGGGGTGGTACTCTGAGATGCATGGGGCTGTCGTGAATTGGACTCAACAGCAACTGTTGGTTGTGCTGCTGTCATCATTATTTTTGCTTTTACTGTACTTGGTTCGCAGGGTGACACAACAGTAAAGCACTCAGAACCTCACTGAAAAGTGAGTGCTCAAACCCACCCACAAGTGCCTCAGTAGAGAGGCCTGCAAGATAAAGACATGTACATATGCAAATATATTTATATGAGGATGGGGAAATAGATCTATGAGCCTATATTTATAGGTTTAGTATTAAGGTAGCAGAAGGACATTGGGCCTCCACTCAAGTACTCCCTCAATGCAAGAATACTTTCTTCTACTAAATTGGCATTCTATGATGCTCACCTTCCCAACACAACTGCTGAAGAAAAAGCAGGTGAATAAGCAAATGTGGTGAAGAAAGCTGATGGTGCCCGGCTGTCAAAGGGTATAGCATCTGGGGTCTTAAAGGCTTGAAGGTAAACAAGCAGCCATCAAGCTCAGAAGCAACAAAGCCCACATGGAAGAAGCACTTCAGCCTATGCAACCACGAGGTGTCGAAGGGATCAGGTATAAGGCATCATCAGAACAAAATATCTTAGCATAACGAATGATGGGGGGAGTGCGGAGTGGAGACCCAAAGCCCATTAGTAGGCCACTGGAGATCCCTTTGCAGAGGAGTCTCGGGGAGGAGATGAGCCAGTCAGGGTGCGATGTAACAACGATGAAAAATACAACTTTCCTCTAGTTCCTAAATGCTTCCTCCCCACTCCCACTACCATGACTCAAATTCGACCTTGCAAGTCTGGCTAGACCAGAGGAGGTACACTGGTACAGATAGGAACTGAAAATACAGGGAATCCAGGACGGATGAGCCCTACAGGACCAGCGGTGTGAGTGGCGAAACAGGGAGGGTAGAGGGAGAGTGAGTAGGAAAGAGGGAACCAATTACAAGGAACTATATGTGACCTCCTCCCTGGGGGACGGACAACAGAAAAGTGGGTGAAGGGAGACGTCGGACAGGGCAAGATATGACAAAATAATAATTTATAAACTATCAAGGGCTCATGAGGGAGGGGGGAGCGGGGAGGGAGGGGAAAAATGAGGACCTAATGCCGGGGGTTTAAGTGGAGAGAAAATGTTTTGAGAATGATGAGGGCAATGAATGTACAAATGTGCTTTACACAATTGATGTGTGTATGGATTGTGATAAGAGTTGTATAAGCTCCTAATAAAATGATTTTTTTTTAAATGAAGAGAGGCCTGGTGATCTGCTACAAAAGCTCCCATCTTTGAGAACACGAGTGAACAGTTCTATTCCACACACATGGGCTACCATGTCTTGGAATGAACTTGGTAGCAACTACCACCAACAATCAAAGGGGAATAATCACAGAGGTAGCTGTAAACTTTATAGCTCCAAGAAGTCATGAACATCTTCTCTTTGCCCATATATACGTCATAGACCAAACCCAACCCAAACCCATTAATCCGATTCCTACTCAAAGCATCTCTATAGGACAGGATGGTGACCCATAGGTTTCCAAGGCCATCAATCATGATGGGAGCAAGGCAACTTGCTGTTTCACCCATGAAGCAGCTGGTGGGTTCAAACCACCAAATTCATGGGTAATAGCTCATTGCTTAACATATTGTGTCACTAGAGTATCTCATATGTCACTTAAGGACTTATGAAATCATTGCACATGGAGCTTCTGTCTGGGCTGAAATATAGGAGAGTAAAGCTCTATGTGCACTATCCATTAAATGGGCCGTTCATGAAAAGAGTACCCAGTGCTTTTCAAAGTTACCTGCTCTGCAGGAGCTTCAGAACAATCGTTGTCCAAAATGTGGTTTCTCAGTTGAGACTTAGATACACACCTAGAATGCCTGTATTTATGAAATGCTACAACTCTGAGCAAGCAAAAAAGCAGACGAACAAACTCATGGCCAGCATGTTAATGTTGACTCTGTAGGACAGGACAGAACTGCTCCTGTGAGTTTCCAAGACTGTACCTATGTCCTCGAGGAGGAAGCCCCATCTTTCTCCTAAGGAACAACGGATGCTTTCAAACTGCCGAGCTTGCAGTTAGCAGCCCAGTGCATAACCGTGATGCGAAGCAGGCCCCTTCTGATACAAGCAAGCCATTAAAAGTACTCAGAGTCAGCCTCCGGGATTCTCACCCAACCTTTGCCCATGACCAATTCTTTAAATACTAATATTTTGATATTCACGTCCCTGAAAAAGATTGATTAAAGTCCCTGACATCAGCCATGAGCTAAGGGAGACCCTGGTTCTTCCGACTTATGAGAGTGCTTCTTGAATTTTCAGAAGCCACTTTATATTAAAGGAACTCTGGTGCTGTGATGGGTTACTCTGTGGGCTGTGAATCAAGATTGGCAATTCAAGCTCAACAGCCACTCACTGGGAGGAAGGTGAGGCTCTCTACTCCCATAAAGATTGACAGCTTCTGAGACCCACAGGGAAACTTCTGTCCTGCCCGGCAGGGTTGCCATTAGTTGGAATCATTTCCATGGCAGGGAGTTATGGGCCCCTTATATTAAGGGTCATGGCGTAAATGAACTTGCCCCACAGTTGTGAAAATACTGGATTAAATGTCTGCTATCGATGATAAAATCGGCAGTTAAACATTAGTGCTTTACAACATCACATCTTTTTTGATGCAAGAGAGAGCAAGTGCATTTATTTGGTTGAATCTGTATGTTGCTTCAAGTGTCCATTCTGCCAAGAGCTCTGATCCTGATAAAACGTGTCTCTGGTTTGCTAGAATGGATTGGCTCAGGAGTAAAATAGCCCATAAAAGTCACCTGTCTCTGATGTAGCAACAATGAAAAATACAACTTTCCTCTAGTTCCTAAATGCTTCCTCCGCCCCCCACTATCATGATCTGAATTCTACCTTGCAAGCCTGGCTAGGCCAGAGGATGTACACTGGAACAGCTAGGAACTGGAAACACAGGGAATCCAGGGTGGATGATCCCTTCAGGACCAGTGGTGTGAGTGGTGATACTGGGAGGGTAGAGGGAGAGTGGGTTGGAAAGAGGGAACCGATTGCAAGGAACTATATGTGACCTCCTCCCTGGGGGACGGACAACAGAAAAGTGGGTGAAGGGAGACATCGGATAGGGCAAGATATGACAAAATAATAATTTATAAATTATCAAGGGCTCATGAGGGAGGGAGGAGCAGGAAGGGAGGGGAAAAAAGGAGGACCTGATGCCAGGGACTTAAGTGGAGAGCAAATGTTTTGAGAATGATGAGGGCAATGAATGTACAAATGTGCTTTACACAATTGATGTATGTATGGATTGTGATTAGAGTCGTATGAGCCCCTAATAAAACCATTAAAAAAAAGTCACCTGTCACTTAAAGAATTATCCTTGGAATTCCTTTACATCACTCACAGCTTTGCTGGACACTCATTTATACCAGAACTCCCTTTTCCCCTATAAATGTATTCAGAAGCTACCTCTAAGGTACAGATTAAAGGTCTAAAAGCCACTTGCTGTTATGAGACTGATGAGCTATTCAGAGTAGCTGCTTGATCGGAGTAAAAGATCTTGTGAAATAGATGTAGAGAATCCTTCGCAAATTGATTTCTGTCTGTAATTAGTGGCTAGACTTCTCCCCAGTCACTGACATGAAGAAGCCTCCTGGAGGAAATGTTAGATCATAGAATTAAAGAGTTGTGTGCATGTAAAAGTGCTTTGTTGATTTGCATACTTCATATTTATTGTTGCTGTTTGATGCCATCGAGTCAGTTCCAACTCGCAGTGAGCCTTTGTACAACAGAACAGACCACTCCGTCCTGAGCCACCCTCACATTTGGTTCTGTGTCTGAGCCCATTGATTCAGCCACTGTGTCAATCCATCTTGTCCAGGGTGCTCTTCTTTTTCACTGTCCCTCTATTTTACCAAGCATGATGTCCCTCTCCAAGGACTGGTCTCTCCTGAGAACACATCCAGAGCACATGAGATGAAGTCTCGCCATCCGTGACTCACAGGAGCACTACGGCTGTACTTTTTCCAAGACAGATTTGGCTGTTCGTTTGGTAGACAAATATCCCTTTCAATATTCCTCACCAGCACCGTAATTCAAATGTATTCATATTCAAATAAAATGTTGCCTACATAGAGCCATTGTGCACAATGTCTTGTACCAGAATAACCTTACCTATCCGATGATTTCATTATTTGTAAAGTGAGGGTTTCAGGAATGTATCAAATGATTGGCCAAGTGGTATAATTTTCAAATAACTTCATTTAAGCCTTAGTAGCCAACCCAAAGAAATGATTCATATGGAATATCTAGAAGAATATATAGCTTTCTTTGACCATTCTTGTATGCTAAGGGGGCGTGGGGAATAAATTGGGTAGCTTTCCTTATGAAGTCTATGTGACAGGAGTTGGGATTGTGTTCTAAAGTAAATAAACGTGCAGTTATTTTTAGGAATAAGAATAATAGGTTGCATGATGAATTTCCGGTTTGGAAATTACTTTGCACATTGTCCCTTTGCAAATGTTAATGGGCCCCAAAATGAATGTGCATCAAACAGATTGAAGCTGATAAGCTGTATCAACCTGGGATTCTCCTTCACAGTAAGAAATAATAGGAAATGCCAGGGGCTCATGGCCACCGAATGTGCCTTGAGGTCATACAGTAGTCCTCTTCTATGGTTGCTTCCTGTCCACTCAGTGCCTTACACCTCTATATTCTCTTTTTTACAGTTCAGCGGAAGAGCAGTTTCACTGGCAATCGCAAGGTAAAGTAGATCTTCCTGATGAGCATTTCTACCTGTGTCTCTCTTTGTAATTCCCTTGTGAGAAAGAGATTTGTCAGAGCAAGTCTGACTACCCCATGAAAGTAAAATGTAAATGAAGTCCTGATAATAGTTCATGATTTCATGGGAGTTAAATTCTCTCAGTTCCTTATAGTTTTTTTATCTGCCCAGGTACTTACACTTAGCTGTCCTGGACATTCAAGTTGGTTGCCCAAGGGTGGCAATGTGAAATCTAATGGGGACTAATGACCTTGCTACCTTTGTGTAAGATGCTGTTGATCATGGGTGTCAATCTGAAAGCATTCGTTTGAACATGGGGGGCGGTAAGTTTGTTCACTACTTGGAAATATTTTATTTCAGATGGCCAGAAAGACATCGAAGATGAACTTACAACAGGGCTTGAACTGGTGGACTCCTGCATTAGATCCCTGCAGGAATCAGGAATACTGGACCCACAAGATTATTCTACAAGTGAAAGTAAGTCAACTGCAATGACCTTAAAGGTTGTGAAAACATGTATGGAGCAAGTCATTATTTGTCTAAACGTAAGGAACTTCATAAACAATGTCTAGTTGGGCTTTTGCGTTCTTTTTCTGCTCCTTTAATCCATGTTACTTTATTCCTTCGACCCCCTTCCTGTGTTACCAAGTCCCAACTCACAGAAGACCATAAACTCTCTTCGGTGGTGAATTATTTCTAACATGCTGCTTTCCTTATCAGCACATAGACTGATATGTTGTCTGAAGTCGACATGTATTTGTTTAACCATCACTATAATGACTCTACAATGTGCTCAACAGTTGGCTTATATGTTACATGACTCTTTTAAACAATATGGCTTTTATAGAACAAAAAAGCAAAATAAGCATGTAATATAGAAAGTGCTAAATGTTTTCTATGCAATTATGCCTTCCATTTATATACTTTGCCTTCCTGCATTGCTGTATTGTTCCAACGGGATAACTAAGGGCGTCTTTATCTCCACCTAATTATAGATTTTTCAGCCAGAGTGGGTGAAGCTTAGAAATGAAACGTACTAGGAGTTGAAATGAGCCCCTTTTGAATAAATCATAAAATCCTCTTCACCTATTTTAATAAAGCCCCACAAAAGGCTAAAAATTAAATCATTAAAACCTGCATTACCTTGGTAATTTCTACATCAAAGATCAGTGAAGCATTCTATTCCTTAATTTAAAAAAAATAAAATTTCCTCAAATCCCCACAAAGGTTTGCTATAGAAAAGGGAGATATAAGAATAAGATAGCATACTGATCTTGAAAACCATTTAATTTACATATTAGCTCATTTTCTCAGTAATCTTCGCAATACCCCTTCTCTAAGGATGGCATCGCCATAAAAGTCCCGATTTATTCAAGCCCGTCTGTGTGTGCTCTCGATTGCATTAGCCTTTTTCTCTACATTTTCTATGTTAAACTCTATGGTTGTCAGCTTTTCTTAAGAGGCAATAAATAGGTTATTTTTTTCTAGTAGGTATAATTGCAGTTGGAATGATTTTTAATGAATCGTCGACACACACCTGCCCATTCTGTAAGGAGTGAGGCAGGCGGGGTTGGAGGCAGGGGGTCTTGTACGGGTGGGGGAGGTGGCGGAGGGGTGTCTCCTTGTACATATCGTAACTGAGAAATGAGAATCTGATTATGAGTTCAGAAGGGGGCATAGCCTTCAGCAGATGTAAAGGGCAGACGCCCGAAATGACAAAAGGGAAGGGAGAGGCTCATCTAAAGAGAGAGAGAGCGTGGAAGAGCACAGCGTGAACAGAAAGGAGAGTGTCATAAAAATCTAAGGAACGGCTGACTACTTGGTGTTCCAAAGCTACATGTCTGGGGAAAAGCGACAGCACAGCAAAGGTAGGCGCAGAGCACACAGGACCCTCAATTCCTTGAGCAATAAAGGAAAGTAGCAATGAGATTTCAAAGTTTACCTGTAAGATTGAGAACTGATTTGTTAAAACTGGATCTATCTGCAGGCAGCAGCGAATGGAAAACATTATCCATGTAATGGTGGTTGGAGAGCAAATTGCTCCCATCTGTTTAGTAGCAACATCTGCCAGCCTGTACCAACACACAGAGAGCTGCATCTTTGGACAAGCCCATGTCAGGGATCTACTCCCTGGGAATAAAACATCAGTTATTAAAAATGAATGTATTTGCATTTGCACATGTGCTTTCCAACACGCAGAAGTTCACTTAGGAGAATGCTTGTTGCGGGTCAGCATGGTACTGGTAGGGAGTGGCGCTGGTTATGGTTTCTCCAAAGGGCAATTCTAATCTGGTCTGTAGAGCTGTGATCAGTTGGAATCAACTTGATGGTACACAATAACACACTAGCTGTGTAGGACAGGTGTTTGCAACAGACCATTCGAGAAGTAAATGTCAATGACAGAAACAAGGCACATGAGTCCATGAGTGTGCAGAAACACATGGAGAAACACTCCTAAGCTTGTTCCTCAAGAGGTGGTGGAAGACCCAAGGATAGCAGTGGCCCATGCACTTGGAGGTGGTTGCAAGACGAGGAAGAAGAAGCCAAAGAAGAGGCTCACTAGCCTCAGTCCTCCCAGACACCACCCTGAGCAAGTGCATGAGTGTAAAACAACATTGCACATACAAGAAAGAAGATCCCAGGGTAAATCAGGAAGAACCAGCCCAGGGTTGGACAGGCACAATAGATGCCGATCAATGCATAAGCAGTGGCCACTTTCCTATGAAAGGGGAAAGTGCACATAGCTGTTCATTTGGGAGTATTTAAAGAGATCTGCTTGAGCTCATTGTTGCAGCCACTGTGTCAGCCCATCTTGTTCAGGGCTCACGCATAGGAATCACTGGGAGGATGACACGGGACCAGGCAGTGCATATGGTCTCTATGGATCATCACTGACTCAGTGGCACCTAGCAGTAAGTTCGCGGCAAGGGAGTGTGGAACCTTCATTGAAACTGGACATAAAACAATGTAAATCAGAAATTACAAAATTATACAAAAATGTGAATATACAAAGACACATTCACATTAAGATGTGTGTATGTGTATATTAATTTGTATGTATATGCACACATATACATCCGTGTGTGTGTGTGTGTGTGTGTGTGTGTGTATGTGTGTATGGTTTCTGATACTGTCAGTCTTATAGAAACTGACTTCCAGGTTGTTTTCTGGAGGAACAACCATGGGGTTTGAACCACCAATCTTTTGGTTAACAGCTGACCGCTGTAGCATCAGGGCTTCAACACACACACACACACACACACACACACTGTTTGTTTGGTTTACTGTAAGTGATAGTGCGCTTCTTTCTTGAGAAATAAAACTGCCTTTTCTTGTTGGGAACCTCTGCTGCGCACCAGAAAATGAGCAAGACTTTTCATGATCCCCACTTTTGCTTCCAGTTGTCTGTGGACAGCAGTCTACTTGTCCGAAAGTCCCATGGTACGGTGGTTAAACACCCCAGTTGGAGTTTTCAGAATATATTTGTTAACAGTTGAATTTTTATTTATCAGAAATATCTGCTTAGGCACCAAATTCTCTTTTTGGAGAACCCCAAGGCTTTTAGAGCAGTACGCTTTTTGTAAACTTCCGGATGCTTAGCCTGGTTTAAGGACGGGAAAAGGAAACAACACAACACAAACCACAGGCAATGAAGCCGCGCACAAAACATTTTCTTCCCAGGATTCTGAGCTGCGGTCGGACACAGAATATGGACAGTTTTAAAGAAGCAGTTGTTATTAACTTTGTCAATGAAGTAATTGGATTAAATTTTAGAAAATAAATAGAAAATATTGATTCAATAACTGTCATTTGGGGTATCAATTATTGCTTATTTTAAGTGGTTGGGGGATCAAAAAAAAGATAGCTCAATTGCACTATAAATTTTTAATAGTTCGGGTGCAGGAGGGAAATAAATTCCAGTGTTGAATTGGAGAGAATTTAATCAAGGTGCTGTTTACCGGGGGGTGGCATCCAGGTGTTTGTTTAGCAGGGATTCCGTGCTATGTTTTGAGTTAGGATGAAGAGAGAAGCTTGCACGCTGGACCACCAGGTCCCATTTGGCTTTAACTATTTACTATTTAGGGTACCCTGGTAGTATAGTGGGCTACATGTTGGGTTGCTAATCATAAGTTCAGCAGTTTGAAACCACTGGTCACAGCATGGGAGAAAGATGAGATGTGGATGCTGTTGTTAGTTGCCTTGAGTCTGTTGACTCGTAGCAACGTGTGCACAACAGAAGAGAACACCACCCAATCCTGCGCCGTCCTCACCGTTGTTCTGATGTTTGAGGCCCTTGTTGCAGCCGCTCTGTCAGTCCATCCCATCAAACAAAGCCACCTTTTTCTCACTGCCCCTCCACTTTATCAAGTGTGCTGTCTTCCAGGGACGTGTCTCTCCTGACAACGTGTCCAAAGTACATGAGATGAAGCCTTGCCATCTTGGTCTCTCAGGAGCTTTCTGGTTGTGCGTCATCTAAGACAGATGTGTTTGTTCTTTTGTCAGTCCCTAGTATTTTCCCTAATCTTTCCCACTACCGTAATTCCAAAGCACCAATTCACCTTTGGTCTTCCTTACTTGGTGCCACGTGCGTACAAGGTGATGCATACAAAACACCATAACTTGGGTCAGTCACACAGCAGTCCTCCAAGTAACGCCCTTACTTTCTACTCCGGGAAAGATGTACAGTAGGAAACTCAGGGACATTACTATTCTGTCCTGTAGGGTCTCTATGAGTTGTAATTGGCTCAATGGCAGGGCATGTGATTTACTGTCTGTTCTAGGGAATTAGCCCACTGATTGAATAAACAGAAAAGCCCAGGAACTGGCAGAACCTACAGGGCTTACCCTATTTAGAGTAAGGGAGCCACTGCAGGTCAATATAGAGAGCTTATGTATATGCATGAAGTGCGTGACTAGGGATTATTGCTCTAGGGAGTAGAAGGTCAGGCTAAAGCTGGCCCCTTTGCTTTCCCAAACCAAACTCGTGTTCATTCTCTGCCCTTCCCATCTGTCAGCTACCTCACAGGGGCCTCCTGTGCCCTTGGATTCCTTAGCCATTTGGAGCCTCAGGAAGGATTCCTTAGCTGTTTGGCCAGTTGGAGGCACAGGGAGCAAATCAAGGGATGGACTTGGATTTGGAGAGTCCTGGAGCCTCTCTTTGTTCTTCAGCCCTAACGATGGTGATGGCTCTGTTGCTCCTCCCAGAAACCTTCACCATTCAGTATAAAACCCCAACCTCAGTGCCGTCAAATTGATCCTACCTCCTGGTAACTGGATAAGATAGTAGAATTGGCCCTTTGGATTTCCTACTCTGTAGACCTTTCTGGAAGCACACTGCATCATCCTTCTCCCCCAGAGAAGATGGTGGGCTTGAACTGCTGACTGAGTATGTAGCCTATAACCCTCTATGCCACCAGGGTTCCAATGTGTGTACAACTCAAACGAAACTGTCATTGAGTAGATGCTAGGAACCCCCT